CCGGGTAATTTTTTGATTTATGTAGAGATGAGGTCTCGCCAAGTTGCCCAGGTGGGTCTCGAACCCGTGGGCTCAGGCAATCCACTCACCTCGGTCTCCGAAAGATGCGGGATTCCAGGCTGAGCCACCGAGCCCGGTGAGAACCACTGCTTATAAGGACACTCCTGTGTGCTGTAGACTACTTCCAGGACCTGGCACCCTGTGAGGTTCCCCAACCTGCCCCACAGAGGGTGTCCAGTCCTGCCCATCCCAGTCTCCAAGGCTCTGGCCCTCACTTTGCTATTAACTCCAGGCAGGTGGGTTGATGAACAGAGGAGAAAAATCACAGAGGCCGGGCACAGTGGCTAATGCCTGTAAACCCAGCACTATGGGAGGCCAAGGCGGGAGGATCACTTGAGGCTAGGAGTTTGAGAGCATAGTAAGACTCCATTTCTACAAAAAAATCCAAAAATTAGCCAGGCGTGGTGGGACATGCCTATAGACCCAGCTATGCTGGAGAGGCTCACCAGAATCAAGGAGGTTGAGGTTGCAGTGAGCTGTGATTGTGCCAGTGCACTCTAGTCTCATTCTAGTCTGACAGAGTGAGACTCTAATTCAAAAAAAAAAAAGAGAAAAAAGAAAAATGAACTCATGCCTGTAATCCCAGCACTTTGAGAAGCAGAGACAAGAGAATTGCCTGAACCCGCGGGTTCTAGACCAGTCTGGGCAACATGACGTGACCTCATCTATACAATAAATCAAAAAATTAGCTGGGCCGGGCTCGGTGGCTCATCCTGTAATCCCGCGCCTTTGGGAGGCTGAGGTGAGTGAATTGCCTGAGCCCGCGGGTTCGAGACCCGCCTGGGCAGCGAGACCTCATCTCTACAATAAATCAAAAAAAAAATCAACTGGGTGTGTTGGCGCATGCCTGTAATTCCGGCTACTCAGAAGGCTGAGGCGGAAGGATCGCTGGAGCCCAGCAGGCCGAGGCTGCGGTGGCCAAGAGCAGCCACTGCACTCCAGTCTGGGCGACAGAGTGAGACTCCAACTCAAAAAAAAAAAAAAATTAGCTGGGCATAGTGGCACATGCCTGTAGTTCCAGCTACTTGGAAGGCTGAGGCAGAAGGTTTACCTGAGCCCAGCAGGTCAAGACTGTGGTGGCTGTGAGCCTGCCACTGCACTCCAACCTGGGCAACAGAGACTCCTCAAAAAAAAGAAAAGAAAAATCATGAAGTTGAAATCCAGCTGTGTACATTTCTTCTAGTTGACTGGAATTGGCTCCAGGTGGGCCCCACCCCCACAGTCTAGGAAACGCCTGACTGTACTCTCCTGCCGTTCTCTCCCCCCCTCCACCCCTTACCATTCTGCAGATCAAGAACCTCGGCATCAGTCAGTGCCTGGATGTGGGCGAGAACAACCGTGGTGGAAAACCCCTCATCATGTACTCCTGCCATGGCCTTGGCGGCAACCAGGTAGACAACCCGCCATGCCAGGTGGCCTGGGCAAGCCTGTCTCCGGGGTGTCTCCTTTCCTCACCAGCCCCCTTTCTGTACCCTAAGTAGTGCTTTCCTGAGGACTGGGAGGGAGGGCTAGAAGGAAGAGGAGGCACCATCCCTGCCCTCAGGAAGCTTCCAGTCTGAGGGGGAATGCATGACACACACAGAGACAAGTCTCAAGTCTGAATAAGGGCCCTCCAGAGAGAACACGGCATCAGCGCTGGGTGTAAGGAAAGGATGGAAAGGAGGATGGACCTGTTGATCAGAGAGGGTTTGCTGGAGGGGCCCAGCTGCAGGGTGACGTTTGGGGTAAGTATGGAACATTTATTTTTTTTTTTGAGTAGAGGTCTCACTCTGTCACCCAGGCTGGAGTGCAGTGGGCCACCACAATCTACTGGTCTCAGGTGATCCTTCCACCTCAGCCTTCCAAGTAGCGACTGGAGCCGCAGGCGCATACCACCACACCCAGCTAATTTTTCTTGATTTATTGTAGAGATGAGGTCTCGCCAAGTTGCCCAGGGTGGTCTTGAACCCCTGGACTTAGGCAATTCTCTCACCTCCACCTCCCAAAGTGCTTGGATTGCAGGCGTGAGCCACCACGCCCGACAAGTATAGAACATTTCTGAGCACTTTCCCTCACCTACTTTTAGCGTCTCTCTTCAATGCCTCCCAGTTTAAAAGCTACCACTTGGCTCCTACCCCCTTGTAGCGACCCCAAAACAACTACCTTCTGCCATCTCACACCTGACACCCTGGGAGCTTACCCCACACCCCACAATGTCCCAGCACTTCCCGGAGCAATAACTAGCAACCTTCCCATGCTCCACTCCTCAATCTACCCTGAGTTTGTGGTGCCTGTGAGAACACAACACAGATTTGAAGCCAGGGAAAGCTTCAGCCTGGGTCACTGCACAGGCTGTCAACACATGCAAACAAAGGCTGTCTTTCTGGAGCAGTTTCCTATACCATTGGCCTGCAGGCTGATTTTATTTTATCTTTAATTTTTAAAAAAAATTTTTTTGGAGTTAGGGGTCTCACTCTGTCACTGGCTGGAGTGCAGTGGTGCAATCACAGCTCACTGCAGCCTCAACCTCCCAGGCTCAGGCGATCCTTCCATCCAGCCTCCTGAGTAGCTGGGACTGCAGGCATGTACCACCACGCCCAGATAATTATTTTTATTTTTTGTTGAGATGAGATCTCACTATGTTGCCTAGGCTGGTCTCGAGCTCCTGGGCTCAAGCAATCCTCTTGCCTCAGCCTCCCAAAGTGCTGGGATTACAGACATGAGCCACTGTGCCTGGCCAGGGTGATTGTAGGTGGTACATTAAAGAATATTTTTCACTTCAATGGTGATTTTTTTTTTTTTTTGAGTTGGAGTTTCACTCGGTCACCCAGACTGGAGTGCAGTGGCCGCTTCCGGCCACCGCAGCCTCGACCCACTGGGCTCCGGCGATCTTTCCGCCTCAGCTTTCCGAGTAGCTGGAACTACAGGCGTGTGCTACCACACCCAGCTGATTTCTGATTTATTGTAGAGATGAGGTCTCGCTGCCCAGGCGGGTCTTGAACCCGTGGGCTCAGGCAATCCACTCACCTCAGCCTCCCAAAGGCGCGGGATTACAGGCTGAGCCACCGAGCCCGGCTGATTTTTTTTTTCTTGAGGTGAGGTCTCACTCAGTGACCCAGGCTGGTGCAGCAACATGATCACAGCTCACTACTGCCTCAACTACTCTGGCCTCGACCACACACAGCTAATTTTTAAATTTTTTTGTAGAGACGAGATCTCGCTATGTTGCCTAGTCTGGTCCTGAACTCCTGGACTCAAGTGATCCTCCTGCCTGGGCCTCCCAAAGTGCTGAGATTATAGGCATGAGCCACTGCACCTAGCCCACACCCAGCCTTAACAGTAATTTATTAGCAAAAAATAGAATTAGCATATCAAACATGATTTCACAGATGTTTCTTAAAATGAGTCTAAATCCAGTCTTAGCTAACTAACTTAAAGAAAATGTGTTGACCAGGCTCGATGGCTTAGCCTGTAATCCCAGCACTTTGGGAGGCCGAGGGGAGTGGACTGCCTGAGCCTGCAGGTTCGAGACCCACCTGGGCAACTTGGCGAGACCTCATCTCTACAATCAATTAAAAAAAAAATTAGCCAGGCATCGTAGTGTACGCCTGTAGTTCCAGCTACTTGGAAGACTGAGGCAGAAGGATAGCCGGAGCTGGGGTGGCCGTGAGCATGCCACTGCACTCCAGCCTGGGTGACAGAGTGACTCCAACTCAAAAAAAAAAAAAAAACTGGACTCGGTGGCTCACCCTGTAATCCCAACACTTTGGGAGGGCCGAAGTGAGTGGATTGCCTGAGCCCGTGGGCTCGAGACCCGCCTGGGCAACTTGGCGAGACCTCATCTCTACATAAAAATCAAAA